GGTGGCGCCGCCACCTCCCCCTCGCCCCTGCCTTGGGTGTGACAGGGGGCAGTGCCCCAACCCCCCAATCGGCCCTACCCTGAGTGTGACTGAGGGTGGCATCAAACCTCCCAATCCGCCCTGCTCTGTGCATGAGAGGGGACGGCACCCCAACTCCCCAATCGGCCGTGCTCTGAGCCCGACCAGGGGCTGCACCTAGGGATTGGGCCTGCCCTCTGCCACCCGGGAGCAGGCCTAAGGCAGCAGGGCGTTATCTCCCGAGGGGTCCCAGACTGCGAGAGGGCACAGGCCAGGCTGAGGGACCCTCCCTTCCCCCCGAGTGCACAAATTTTTGTGCACCGGGCCTCTAGTATAGATAATAAAACCCTAATATGCAAATTGACCAAATGGCGGAATGACCGGTTGCTATGACACACACTGACCACCAGGGGGCAGACGCTGGCAAGCACAGCAGTGGTGGTGGATAAAGCCAGCAGGGCGTTATCTCCCGAGGGGTCCCAGACTGAGAGAGGGTGCAGGCCGGGCTGAAGGACTCCCCCCCCCACGAAATTTTGTACATCGGGCCTCTAGTTAAGTATATAAGGCAGACTACAAAATTGTATGACCACTTTGTTATTAGTAGCTTTCATACATTTTGAAGGACTGAAATTATACAGGGGGGAGAGGGGGGCGCAAAATTAGTTTTACAGTTGCATGTACATGAAACAGAGTTTATTCTTATATTATTTACTCTTGTATATTTTTTCCATACAAACTACTGTAAACCTACTTTTGCCCACCCCATATATTGCAGGTTCTCGGACCACAATCTAGAAAATATAAAGTGTGAACCAGAACATCCCTGTATGTTAAGAAGCACACACTGAATAACCTATTGATCTAAGAAAATATATCAGATATTAAAAAATATTTTGAACTTGAATGATTAATGAAAATACTATTTACCAAAAATTTGAGATGCAGATAAAAGTAGTACTTAGAGGGTTATGTTAAAATGAATATAATAGAAATTAATGAATTAGATATCTGTTTCAAGAAGTTTAAAAGAACAGCAAAAAGATAAACACAGAAAGAAGGGTATAATAAAGGTAAAAATGGAAATCAATGAAACAAAAATTATAGAAAAAGAAGAAACAGAAGAATTAACAAACCCAAAATTGGTTCTTTGGGAGAGCTAATAAAATGGACAAATCTCTGGTAAAACCAATCATGGAAACAATAGAAGACTCAACCATTATCAGTGTGTCAAGGAGGAATCGCTACCTATGTCACAAAGTTAAAAAAAGAAGTTCATTAAATTGAAAAATTTGGATGAAGTAGAAAAATTCCTTCTAGTTCAAATCTCACAATCACACAGACACTTGTCCTCAAGACAACCTTTGCACTTTGGCATCAAGCAGACTGTCTTATGCAAACTTCCCATTTTGTCACACAGAATATTAAAAACACCAAAAGATGTGTACTCAAGGGCCAATTTATCCTATATAATAAAAGCCTAATATGCAAATTGACCGAATAGCAGAACGACTGGTTGCTATGAGGCGCACTGACCACCAGGGGGCAGATGCTTAACGGAGGAGCTTCCCCCAGCCCGCAGGCCCCAGGCCAGCCATGGCTGGTGCCAGTGGGGGGTCCCCTCTATTACCCTGCCGATTTCCCCACAGATCAGCCCTGATCACCGGCCACGCCTAGGGTCCCTACCCGTGCATGAATTTCGTGCACCGGGCCTCTAGTTTATTAATACAGTTAATACTTCTTACTGCTTCATCAAGGCTATGAAGTAAAATGAGTGTTGTTTGCTTGTTTTTATGGAAAGGACTTAGGAAGAAAAACATGGTCACTGGTGGCGGGGTTTACGCACTTGGTTACCTGCTGGTCGTTTCACCCACCATTGCTTTTGCACCATCAGTGCAAACATCAACCCAAAGGAGGAGAAATTATGTCTAAGGTTATGAAGACAGTTTTGATCTCACAGGCTTCTTCAAGGGCCTTTGGGACTCGCCACCCTGGAGTCTGTGAACCACATTCTGAAAACTGTGGTGGTAGAGAAACTTGTGCTCAGGACACTGGACACATGTCCTGGTCATGGCATCGCTGCTCCTACAGCGCGGGAATGTCCATGAACAGGAGCATGAGTAAATGACAAGGTGGCTGTAAATACTGTACACCCAATGAACACACATTAACTAGAGCCCGCGAAGTAACTGGTGCTTCTAGCATCACACTAAGCCACCAATCGTTGGGAGAACTTGGTTTATGTTAAGCATGCATTTTTTCCTCCTTAAAGAGCAAATTGGTGAAGCATCCACTGTATCAGTAATTCTGCAACTGCATTTGGTTTACAAGTTTCCCTGGGGAAGGAGTAATAACAAGTCTTCAGAGTAGAAGCTATTATTAAAAAGCAATTTAGGCAATCTTCACAGATTAACCTCGATTGACGGGACCTCTGTCCTCTTCCTTCAATGGCATTTGTTTTCTTGCTACTCTCTCTCAGCTTCTTCTCAGTCACCGTCAGGCACCCGTTTTCATTTGCTGGTGGTTGTCCAGATTTTGTCCTTGGCCCCTTCTCTTACTTCACATACGATGTCTGGGAGATCTCCCCATACTCAGGACTCCAGCTTCTAACCATTCACTGATGACCTACAAAACTCTATCCCCAGCTCATCCTAAGATCTAGATCCCTGTATTCAATTGCCCGATGGACATCTCTCCTTAGACTGCCATAGGCAGTTCCAATTCACTATGTCCATGGCTGAATTCATTACCTTCCTCCTACACCTGTTCTTCTTTCCTTCCGATCCACCTCCCAGGTACTGTCCTTCCCTTCCCCCCGGTCTCAGGTGCTTGTCTTCCATGTTCACATGGCACCCATTTAAGTGAGACGTCTACTACAGTGGACAGGAATTGCCATTAGGTCTCTCTCCTCCCCAACTGTGAGTTGGGGACAAAGACTAACTCTGGATGTCACAGCTGGCTCTGTATTTATTACATAGCAGTAGTACATTCACTACTGAATGAATGAAATAAAAATTTTATAGAATTCTTGGCCCTGGCTGAGTATCTCAGTGGTTAGAGCATCGTCCCAATAAGCCAAGGCTGCAGGTTCAATCTCTGGTCAGGACACATTTAAGACGCAACCAATGAGTGTATAAATAAGTGTGACAACAAATCAATGTTTCTCTCTCTCTCAAATCAGTAAATAGAATTTCTAATTCTTTTCCTTAAAAGAAGGTCAAAAGGTCCTTGTTGATTTTTTAAAAATAACATTTAAAAACATAAAAGAATACATGTTCATTATAGGGATTTCTTTTTTTTTAAAACAATTAAAAAAAATCATCACCCGAGGATCTATATCAGTGATAGCGAACCTTTTGAGCTTGGCGTGTCAGCATTTTGAAAAACCCTGATTTAACTCTGGTGCTGTGTCACATACAGAAATTTTTTGATATTTGCAACCATAGTAAAACAAAGATTTATATTTTTGATATTTATTTTATATATTTAAATGCCATTTAACAAAGAAAAATCAACCAAAAAAATGAGTTCGCGTGTCACCTATGACACGCGTGTCATAGGTTTGCCATCACTGATCTATATACATATTTTTAATATACTTTTTTTTATTGATTTCAGAGAGGGAGAGGGAGAGAAACATCAATGATGAGAGAGAATCACTGATCGGCTGCCTCCCGCACACCCCACACTGGGGATAGAGCCCACAACCTGGGCATGTGCCCTTGACCAGAACTGAACCCGGGACCCTTCAGTCTACAGGCCAACACTATCCACTGCGCCAAACTGGCTAGGGCATTATAGGGATTTTTGAAAATCCAAATATTAACATAATTTTTCCATCAAGAGATAACTACTACTAATGTTTTCACCTATTTCCAGTTTTTCCTGTGTGTATGCACACATACACACACACACACACACATTCATGTTATAAACTTGAGATCAGTGTTTAAACTGAATACACAATTTTGCATCCTGCTTGCTCTTTAATGTTCTATTATGAAGATAATCCCCATAATTAAGTATTCTTTTTTTTAAAAAGAAATGTTTTTATTGATTTCAGAGAGGAAGGGGGAGGGAGAGATAGAAACATCAATGATGAAAGAATCATTGATCGGCTGCTTCCCTACTGGGGATAGAGCCAGCAACCCAGGCATGTGCCCTTGACTGGAATCAAACCCGGGGCTCTTTGGTCCACAGGCCAACGCTCTATCCACTGAGCCAAACCAGCTAGGGCCATTAAGTACTCTTGAATTGCCATTTTAAATGGCTACATAAGGTCCCTGCTTGAAATGTACTAATAATTATCCTGCTGTTGGTTATTTATATTTCCCCCTCATTTTTGCTATTATGAGTGATACTTAACACATTGTATGCGGGAAACGTATTTATATGTTTTACGTATTTATACGTTCTACGAGTGTAGTAGAGCGCGGGACACATATTAATACTTTTTTTATAGACTAGTGGTAGAATGCAGGTAACGTATAAATACGTAAACTAGTTACTGTAATTTTACTGAACGTTGCCATTTGCGCAAAAAATTAGCAAAAATGGCCCGCGCCACCTGTTAGCGCGTGATAAAAACTACCTGCAAACAATGTGTTAACATCTCTGCATGTAATTCTCTGAGTTCCTATTCCCCTGGGAGAGATTCCTAAAAGGTAATCCCATCTCCCTTAGGTCTTTACTCAAGCATGACCTTACCTTAAAATGAAAACTTTCTTCCCCAACACTCCACATTCCTCTTTCCTGCATTATTTTTCTCCTCAGCACTTACCACTAACGTACCATAATAGAGTATGTTATGCTGTCTGTGGTCCCCACTAGAATACAGGACGAGGAATTCTGTTGGTTTTATTTGGGGTTGGATACCCGCATGCAGTGCAATGTTTGGCATATGACAGGGACTCAGGAGTACTTTTTTTTTGGGGGGGGGGGGGGGGGGAGAGTACTTTTTTTTTGGGGGGGGGGGGGCCCAAACAGGGACATGAATCAGGAGTACTCTTGATGAATGAATCAAGGTAGTTGATTCATTACCACCCAATTGCTTTTCTGAAAATTTTAAGGAGTGTCTGTTTCTTTCTACCCTCAACACTTCTGAGTATTTTTATTTTGAAAATCTTTAACAATTTGATGGGAGAAGAAAATGTTAAATTTGCCTTTCTCTGATTATTAGATTTAATTAAGAAAAATAGATTTTTATTGATTTCAGAAAGGAAAGGAGAGAGAAAGAAACGTCAAGGATGAGAGAGAATCACTGACCAGCTGCCTCTTGCATGTCCCACATTGGGGATCAAGCCCGCAACCTGGGCATGTACCCTGAATGGGAATCAAACCATGATCTCCTGGTTCATAGGTCGATGCTAAACCACTGAGAAACACTGGCAGGGCAATGAGATTTAGTTTTTATTTATTTTTTTTAAAGAGATTTAATTTTTAAAAGAATTTATTGGTCACTTGAATTTCTTCTCAGAATTTTGTTCATATTCTTGGCCCATTTTTTGGGAAAAGGTTTATTATTTGATTTTTGTGGTAAAATATACACAACATAAAACCTACCATTTTAACCATTTTCAAGTGTGTAATTCTGTGGCATGACGTATCTGCACATTGTTCTGCAACCATCACCACCTTCCACCTCCCAAACCTTTTCATCTTCCCACATGGAAACTGTCCCCATCACACACTAACGCCCCTTTCCTTACTCCCCCAGCTTCTGGCAACTGCCATTCTACTTTCTGTCAAAAGATTATTTTTAGATGCCTAGCTGGTGTGGCTCAATGGTTGAACTTCATCCCATGAACCAAGAGGTTGCTGTTAGATTTTGGGTCAGGGCACAGATTGGTTTGCAGGCTTGATCCCCAGTAGGGGGCGAGCAGGAGGCAGCTGATTGATGTTTCTCTCATTGAAGTTTCTATCTCTCTACTCCTTTCCCGTCCTCTCTCTAAAAATCAATAAAATCATATTTTTTTTTAAAAAAGATGATTTTTAGAGCAAAAGAGTACCAATCAGATGGAAAACAAACTTGTTTTTAAATTCTGTGTCTCTGAAGGAAGAAGTGAAAAGCTAGTTTCTTCTCCTCACCTGCTTTGCTCAGTTTTGCTGTTTAGTGTTTACATGAAGGCCCGAGATAAAATGCGAGGGCAATCTTGAAACCAGCTGGCGCTCACATACCTCGATGATGTCTGTAGGCTTGTTTATGTACTCTTTAAAGATCAAGATGGTGGGAACATAGACGTTGACGTTGTACTGCCCCGTCATCTCTTCCGCGCCTCTCGAACCGACATACACATATCCAAATAAAAAACAGTCTCTATGTGCAAAAGCAGTCAGCTGTTAGGGCATAAGAGAGAGGAAGAAATGAGGTCGATAGCACAGCATGTAAATTATAAATCAAGTGTGACTTCTTACATCAGATGAACACTAGCTTATTGTATGGCCCCACTTGGGCTGTTACACCCTTGTACACTTGTAGAAATTCTATGGTGTTCATGCATAAAAACTGCACCAACAAAGCTCAACACAATTCTTTTCTTTCATAAAGAGAAAAATCATCATCTTATTGAGATGCACACTGGGTGAGAGGCAGGGAGTGTTTGAGGAACTACCTGTACCCCAACTATGTGAGATGGCAGTGACCATCTCGTGTCACAGTGACAACCAGAGGTGTGCTGGAAGTGTAGACTAGGGTCTCACTGAGAGGGCAGGTGTGGAGTCAGACAGGCTTCAAGGGACTCAATACTCCCCATACTGCCAGGGGACCGTGGGTTGTTATAAACCACTCGAAGTTTCAGGATCTTGGTCTATAAAGCAGGGATAATGTCTCGGTCATTGGGGTTTTTTGAAGATTCAATGTATCATGTGTGCGGAAAGCACAGCCTTGCAATAGCATCAGGAGCTGCTCAGTGCACAGTGTTTAAGGCAAATTTCTAGTCTTCGAACATTTCTCATGGGATAAGCTTTTACCTACAAAATGGACACTCAGGCTACAAGTTCTTCCCAAGGAAATAAGAGAAAACATTACCCCAGCACACAGAGTACCTTGAATGGCAGTGGTATAACTGGCATTTTGTCGAACAGAAGGACATGTGGTTTATTCTCTTGCTGCCAGCCAGAGAGGAATTGGACATAATTTTTATTTGTAACCTTCAATTGAAAAGAGAATGTTAATTTCAATATTGAATTTTCAACCACTGTACTATCACTCAATCAACAGATAATTACATAAAATAAAATGCATAAAATATTTTATAAAAAATAAGAAATGCAGGCAACTAAGCTTTTGTCTTCATTTGACTAAAACTATTAAAAAGAAAGAGATGTTGCCCTGACCGGTCGGCTCAGTGGATAGAGTGTCGGCCTGCGGACTCGGGGGTCCTGGGTTTGATTCCAGTCAAGGGCATGTACCTTGGTTGCAGGCACATCCCCAGTGGGGAGTGTGCAGGAGGCAGCTGATCGATGTTTCTAACTCCTTATCCCTCTTCCTCTCTGTGAAGATCAATAAAATATATTTAAAAAAAATAAAAAGAAAGATGTTGATTTCATATTTTCATGTGTTTCTACTCTGAAAGCATAATCTTTTCTAAACTAATTACTGACCATAATATTTAAAAAATGAGCTTTCAAAGTTGGTTCTTGCTTCATTACAGGCTAATTTTTAATTAACCTTAATCTATTAACCTTAATCTAATGCAGAAGATAATGCACCAATTGGTCTTTTAAAATAGTTCAAATAAAAGTAAGTGGGTCTGAGCCAGAGTCAAAACTCTCATCACTCAGAGAGCATGGATTTTGCCATTTTGGTGACACAAAATTGGCCCTGGACTAAATGTTGCTCTGTCCTCAATTAGAGAAATTTAAAACAAGACCTGAAAAGACCATTGTTCCCAAGGAACTTAACCACATCCCAGAACAAAGCTCAGGGATATTTATTGGAAAATAAAGACATCCCAATATCAGTACCCAACAGGTAAAAGGTACACTATCTAGTATCCAAAAGTAGAAACCCTGGCCAGGGTTGCCCAGTTGGATGAGCACTGTCCCATTCACCAAAAGGTCGCTGGTTTGATTACCGGACAGGGCACATGCCTGGGTTGCAGGCTTGATCTCCCAGTAGGTGTGCAGGAGGCACCGATTGGTGTTTCTCCTTTTTTCTTCCTCTCTCTCAAGTAAAAAGAAAACATATTTGAAACAAAACAAAAAGTAGAAGGCATGTAAAGGAAGGGGGTGAGGCCTATCAGCTGAAACAAATCCAAAAACATAACATGATAAAAATAAGTGGGCCCACCTCATCTATACATTACATAATTTCATTTATTGCCATTTGAATTGCTACTTTTGTGTTTCCCTGTTTATGCTTTAAAATAATCCTACTGAGGGAACAAATTAAAAGCATAATTAAATTTCTATCTATAAATATGTTAATAAATTCAAAAAAGTATCTTTTCACTCTGCTTCTAGAATGATCTCTATAAAAACCCCATCTGACCATTTCTCCTCATTGCTCAATGGCTCCATCACCTGCAGGCCAAGGCCCAGGTTCCGTAAAGATTCCTCTTCATGCTCTAATGGAGTCCTCTCCCACTCACTGATGCTTACTTCATACAAAGCAGGCTGTTCCTGTCCTGGACCGCTGCCTGCCTGGAACTCATTCCCTACTTCCCTCTCCTCACCTGGTAAATACAGAACAGGGTCATTTCTGCCAGGAAGGCTTTCCCAGCTCTAATATACCGGAGGGAAAAAAGCACCCACTAGACTGTGAACTTGAAAATTATCCTCAACACTTGTCCCAGTGCCAGGCATAGAACAGATGCCATGTAAAGGCCTGAGGAACTAGCAGGACAACGCGTCATGGTTTCAGGAGCCTACCGTGCTCTCTGACAACTTCCTTTCCAGATAATTCCACCAAGTATCCCTCCTGCAGGTAATGATCCTGCAGGACAGACAATGAACCGTGCAGGAAGAAATTTGATGGAAATGTCTGCATGTTCACTTTCCCTGGTATTGTTAAAGGAACAAATCATGTAAAGTAACACAAGAATCCTCTTCTAGTTTCTCTGATCCCTAACTTAAGAGACTGGGGGGAAAATGCTTCTTAAATATAAAAACCATAAACCAGTATGAACTCTTTGTGCCTGGCTTCTTTAGCTCTACCCCGTGTACGTGAAATTTCATCATACTGTTGCATCACTATATGTTCTGGAAGTTCCAAAAATAATACTTGTGTTCATGGAATCTGGTATTTTCTATAGATATGGTCATTAAATCTACAATTAGCCGGAGCTTAATTTGAATAGTCTCATAAGAAAAGTGTCTTCAGAGGAACAAGGCGATGAGTCGGAAAGAAATCCTTTATCTTATATGTTGTGGTCCAACCTTTTGCTTAGGGCAGTGGTCGGCAAACTGGGGCTCGCAAGCCACATGCGGCTCTTTGGCCCCTTGAGTGTGGCTCTTCCACAAAATACCAACTTC